TTAAGCAATTTCAGAAGATGAATATACATATATCATTAATATACAATTACTTAATGTTATTATTATTATTCTTTCATTATACTCATATATAAGCAGTGCTTATAAAGAGTTTTTGTGTAATGTTAAATACAGACAAGAGTTGGTTATACAGAAGAAATGTTTAATGTTGAATGATGTCAAAAATATAACAGAAATATAGAAAAATTAATGAAACACAGAATTTAGTACTCATGATATAAATTTCCAGCTCAGAAATAATAAGTTAAATCAGATAATAGATTCATTCAAAAATATCTATTTAACAGATTCACATTCTTTTATTTTAAAAATTGAGAAGTTGGCTCTAAATGTAATGTTGTCTTATTGTGAGTTCTGAACTCACATGCTTTTAATCCTCATGTCAAGACGCTATCTGATGGCTGCATTATCCATTCAGCCACCGGGGCTGCTTGCATATGAGTATAATGAAAGAATAATAATAATAAATTAAATTAATTGCGTGATCATGTATGAAATTGAAATTAAATTTTTCTTCAATCTCATTATCAAATATCTTAGTTCTGATTTTATATAATGTTTATTAAATTAATCATTTTATACTATTTATATTATAAATTTAATCTGAAATCATGTGCTTTCTATAAACTATTGATTCTGATTTTATTTAATTTTATTTTGTAAAATGAGACCAAATGAGATATGATTTATCTTATATAATGCTATAAATGTTATCAAAAATCATTATTTATCAAAAGAAGTTTAATGTATTTATACTTTAGTTTTATTTTGAAGTAGTAATGATAGATAAATAGATTGGCAGTGATAGATAGATTGACAGCGATAGATAGATTGACAGTGATAAATAGATTGATTGATAATGATAAATAAATAAATTGACAGCGGTAGATAGATAAAATTGGTAGTTGATAGATAGATAAGAGTAAGATAGAGATAATATCTTCATCAATTATATTATCAAATTGATGTATTATATAATCATCAGAATGAAATCAAATTTCAATCAAAATCATAATCAATCTCAGATCATGGTTTTATTTTGCATAGTTAATCATTTTATATAAAATATCAAGATTTATTAATCTCATTTCATTTATGTTTTAATAATTTTAATCACGTTACACTTTCATTCTGATTTGATTTCATTTAAAATCATGTCAAGAAATGTATTGAAATCAAATCAAATCAATTCAAATATCTAATTCATGATCTCAGCAGCCAGTCTAAAAGTTGCTGATGCAGCAATACTGAAATCAGAAGCACTCACAAGAATTATTTGAAATTAAAATGAAAAGAAAAAGAATTGAAAAAATGATGACTGTGAAAAAACATTGTCAGAAGAAAATTGAAAATGTGTTTTTTTATGAAATAAAAAAGCTTAAATCGATAAATTGTATTTTAAATATATTTCTTAATAACATTTTTTAATAACAATTTTGTGATTTAATTGATTAGCAGACTTCTGAAGAGAGTCAGAGGATTGAGACTTTGTTTAAATTTCATATACATTTAATGATTCAGAATATTGAGAAGATAATATTATTTTCTAAGTATGTTAATCTGCTTACTACAAAGATACAATTTAAAACAGCAAATCAGAAGATGTAGAATTTTGAAATTTAAATAAATTTAATAAAAAAAAAATTTATTTTTCATCTGAAAAGATAGCTAAGAAGAGATTTGAGATTATTATTTTCTTCAATGAAAAAAAGAAAGAAAAGAAATAGAAAGTGAAAGAGAAAGAGCAGAATTGAATTGTGATTATTATTATTATTATATTATTATTCTTTAATTATAAATGTATACAGTCAATGACTATAACATTTATCTGAAATACTTTAGAATTTTTCAAATCAAGAATAATCTAATATACAAAAGCAATTTGAAACATGCAATATCAGAATTCCAGCCCAGAATTAAACAACTATTCAAACTGTTTAATTAAAGAAAATAAAATCCAAAAAATGTCAATGAGTCAACATAACTCAGTTTAAAAAACAAATGAAACAAATATTATAAAAGATAGCATCATTAAAACAAAGTATCTTTGTGCCGGTTAGCGGGGCGCCCAGCCCGCCGAGCGCCCTCGCCATTGGTCCGCCGCGCGAGCGAGGCCCGATGCGGCAGTACCGTTGCCGCTTCGGGGATGGCCGCCCCCTCGCCGCTTTTGCGCCTTCTCACGCCGCTTCAACGGACGCCGCGATCTATAAAAACCCATCTCGCGCCCCTCGCAACGACCAAACACTCCCTCCTTCCTTCCTTCTTCATTTCTCTTTCTCTCTCGCCCTCGCTCTGGCTCTGGCTCTGGCGCTCGCGCTCGCGTGCACTGCCCCCTTCTCCGTTCCCCCCCTGCCAGGGATGGTGCCGTCTTATCCGGCCCTCACCCGTCTTGGATCCTGCGCCCGCGGAGTCGTCGAGCCGCTGTTCTGATACCGCCTGGTTGGCCTCTGAGCCACCACGTCGCCCCTTCGCGATGCTACCCCGCTTGACTCTGGGATCGAGGCTTCCGGGGCGTCCGCACCCCCGTTTTTCTGCACGTGTGCCTTTCGCTGTGCCGCGCGATCGGTGATTCCAAGCAGCAGAAATTTTTACTCCCCGGTTGATTTATTCTTCTATTTTCATTTTCATCTTCCAAGTTTTTTTCTATTTTATCTCGTTGGAAGGTCTTCTTTTCAATACTCGGCTTGGTCTTGAAACCCCTTCTATCGGTGGGATTGCGTGCGCAGACGGAGGAGGCGGCAGCCGATCGAGCGTGTTGGGATGGCCGGAGTGCTTGCTGGGCCTGAGCGATGTGGGTTGCATCGCCCTTTGAGCCACCAAGGCTGACTGCCATCGTCACAATTTCTTTCCGCGGGCCAATAGCAAAAATGCCGCATTTCATTTGTGCTGGTGTGCGCCTGCAGGTCAGACGGGGACCAAGGCGGGCAGGGCGGTGTCAGGATTGCATGCTCTGGACATGTGAAGGCTGCAAGTGGTGAATGGCCAAACGCGATTGGAGCAGGCCACTGGTCATCGGGCTTCAGCTGGCTTTTTGGGCCAGCACGGGACGCGTCAGCAGTCTCAGGGGGGGATCCAGGGATCGGAGGAATTCGCCCCTTCGCTCCGTCCGCTCAATCTCCGATGGGAGATGTGAGACTGTGCAGCGATGGAGCCTCTGCGCTGAGAGGAGCTATAAGAGGTGGCCGAGCCTCCTACAGAATTTTCAAGATACTGGCACTTTGCGATCTGTTTTTCTCACCCCGCGCACGCCCTTCCCTCTGGCCCCCTGACCGCTCCTGACTCAAAATCCCTCAAAATCTTCCCCCTAAAATCCCCAATCCCCTACCCAGATGGCCCTCGCGTTTCATGTGAACAACTTCAAGCCGTGGGCGCCGCGGGCGTCGCGGCACCCCAAACCATTCTCACTGCGCAAATGCCCCAATTCTCGCGCTCTA